CGGTCACGCCAGCTCCAATTAAGGGAGGTAAATTGGAGCTGCCTAGAGAAAGCTGCACCTGATTGGCGAATGGGAAACAGCTGCCAGCCTAATTAGCCTGGGGCTACATACAGGCCCAGAGGAAGGAAGGAAGTGGGGAGCCAGAGAGTGGAAGGAGAGTGGTAGCTCTTCCCTCCTAGTTGCATAAGGTGAGAAGTCCTTATGGCTGAAAACCCAAGCTGTTATGTGGTGAGAAAGTGGTGGGGAGTGCACGGTATAAATAAACTGCACCAGTGATTGCTGAGCCCAAGGGTCTCTGAGTAGTTTATGAACACAGCAGAGGCAGGAGCAAAGGGGGCCCTGCTCCACCATCCTTACTGTATATCATTCTGATCCTTATCTATTTCCTCATTCTGGTACATACTTCTCATTACTTTAAGTTATTTCTGAGGTTCTCTGTCCCATTGCAACTTTCCAACTGTCTCAATACCTGGTGGTTAAACATTGTTTATGCCCTTTTTAGTAGTTTCATCATTTATACATTTTGTGGTTAATACAGTATAAAAATATATCTTCAAAACAGCTTTCAAAATAGGATAAGTAAAATAGGTTAATACTGCACACTGAAATAACATTCTTTGTTAGACATCTTTTATCTTAACTGCAAAGCATCATCTGATTCATAGATTCCAAGGCCAGAAGAGACCATTGTGATCGTCTAGCCTGATTTCTTATATAACATAGGCCATAGAACGTCCCCAAAATAAATCCTAGAGCAGATCTTTTAGAAAAACATCCAATCTTGATTTTAAAATTGTCAGTGATGGAGAATCCACCACTACCTTGGTAAATTGTTCCAATGGTTAATGCTAAAGTTACAATTAACTCTCACCCTTAAAAAACGTATGCCTTATTTCCAATCTGAATTTGTCTAGCTTCAATTTCCAGCCATTGGAGTGTGTTATACCTTCCTCTGTTAGACTGACAAGCCCATTATTAAATAGTGGACCCATTGTCTAGCAGCGGTCGCACCAGTGCCAAATACAGAGGTAAAATAACCCCTCTACTTCTACTCAAGACTCCCCTGTTTATGCACCCAAGAAGCACCTTAGATCTCAGTGCGACATTGTGGCCAAAAGGGCTATGTTCGGTTCATTAGCCACCATGATCCCCCAAATCTAGTTCAGAGTCACTGCTTCCCAGGGTAGTGTCCCTATTCATGTAAGTATGGCCTATATTCTTTTATCCTAGATGTGTACCTTTACATTTAGTTGTATTAAAACACATATTACTTGCTTGGACCCAGCTTACTAAGTGATCCAGATCGCTCTGCATCAGTGATCTGTCCTCTTCATTATTTACCACTCCCCCAGTTTTTGAGTCATCTGCAAACTTTATCAGTGATTTTATGTTTTCTTCGAGGTCATCAATAAAACTTGTAAATAGCATAGGGCCAAAAACCAATCCATGCAGCACACCCCTAGAAACGCACCAATTTGATGATGATTCCCCATTTACAATATATTTTGAGACCTATCAGTTAGCCAGCTTTGAATCCATTTATGTGTGCCATGTTCATTTTTTATATCTTTCTAGTTTTTTAATCAAAATGTCATGTAGTACTAAGTCAGATGCCTTATAGAAGTCTAAATATGTTATATCAACATTAGTACCTTTAGCAACCAAACTTGTAATCTCGTCAAAAAAGATAGCAAGTTTGACAGGATCTATTTTTCATAAGCCCATGTTGATTTGCATTAAATATATTATCCTCCTTTAATTCTTTATTAATTGAGTCCCACATCAGCAGTCCCACTATCTTGCCTGGGATAGGTGTCAGACTGACAGGCCTATTATTATCTGTGTCATCCTGTTTACCCTCTTTAAATATTGGCACAATATTAGCTTTTTTCCAGTCTTCTGAAACTTCCCCAGTGTTCCGAGACTTATTGAAAATCAGCACTAATGATCCAGCATTATCCTCACCCAGCTCTTTCAAACCTCTTGGATGGAATTTATCAGGACCTGCTGATTTTACAATGTCTAACTTTAGTAGCTGTTGTTTAGCATTGCTCCTGGGAAAGCCTTAATATCTTTCTTGGCCCATTAGGTGTTAACAGATGCCCCACCTTCTTTCATAGTAACAGCCTTCTTAAATATGCACACAGCTTAAAACTGTAAACAATAATTACTTTAAACAGCTGTTGTGTCACTTTGTATGCAGATCCTTATTATTATACAAGTATTTGTATAAGGCAGAGAAAAAATAGCATGCACGACATTTGTTTTTGGCTTTTTTGCTGCTTAACCAGACATCTTAAGTGACAAAACAATACAGTGTCACTCAGGATCACCTATCACAATTAGACTCTTAAAGCTCACTTCTGTCCAGCTTTGTGTGAATAGGATGGCTACATCTCCATTGTGCAGCAACTGATTGAGAGTTTCCTTGGTTTTTCTCATGCTATTACCCATCTGTATGACATGAATACCTTTCGCTCTTACAAGAACTTTTAGGCTCAAAGTTAAAGGACTAATATGTTCATCAAGGGTGGGAATATATTATTGTAATTTCTCAGTTAAAACACTAGTTGGTCTGGGTTTCACCTCAGGGCATTGCAACATCTTTGTAGATGATTGTACACTTAATTATGCATCTGGTGGAAAGATAGGTAACCAGCCTGTTACTCATAAGTTTATCATTTCCTTCCAACCCCCGGGATATCTTGAAGGAGCAGAGATGGTCACAGGTATTCTCTGGTGTTGTAAGGGGTGTGGGCTGATCAGGAATGGGAGGTGACCGATTCGTATGCTGACTATGTGTCATGGATTGTTTGATTGTCCACTATAGGAGTTGCATTATACCAGCTGTGGGCAATCTGCAGCCCACAGGCCGCACGCGGCCCATCAGAGTAATCCGCTGGTGGGCTGCGAGGCAGTTTGTTTACATCGACCGTCTGCAGGCATGGCCGCCCGCAGCTCCCAGTGGCTGCGGTTCGCCATTCCCAGCTGCAGGTTGCCAACCACTGCATTATACAGTTTTACATGTGTAATGCTAGTTACTAAAACACAGGCACTCACAATTATGTGAAAAACTTCACTGCTGCTTCCTCCCCCGCCACCGAGCACTTTATTTTAGCAAGAATTTTAGCTAATAACCAATGTATTTTTAACATAACTAAAGGAAAATAATATAAAACTAAAAACAATTTTTGTGGTGCACGCTATTTTGGGGTCATAGCCATTATTATATTATTGTAACATCAATTCAATTTTTTTTGCAAATGTCAGTTATAAATATATGTCCATATATTTCTGCCTCAGTGAATAATTTAATTACAATGTTTTTTTTTTCTATGAATCAAAACTTTTTGTCCAAAGGAAGAAAAAACTATAAGGTCGAAACTTCAATATTAATGTAAAATAATATTAATAAGATCATAGTTTATACAACTTAAGAAAAGGCTATTACATTCTAATATAGCTATGAGTGTATTACAGGCAAATATTGTATTTTACTTGTCTAGTTATTTTGCTAATTGTTAAACCTAGTAAAAAATAAATTTATTTTTAAAGAAGTTTCTGTCTTTTGTCATAAGTTCATTAGCCTTGAGGTAAGGTCTTCCACAGCGGTGGGTAATTGTATACCTCTCTTTGTATGGGCTGTCTTGCTAACTATTTAATTAATAAATCATCTTTGATTGGATTTATCCGAAGTCTGTCATTGTTAAATAAATCTCAGCTCAAGGGAGCATTACTCATTGAACCTATAATCACAATTAAAATTGCTATTGATTTTTGGTTATTGATTATTGACTATGAACAAATGGCGCCTGAACAAGGAACCCAATAGGGGCTATTGATTGGTCTGGCAGGGTGGAATCATGATCTGCCTGCCAGAAGTAGGACTCAACAGTATCAAGGATTGGAGTCTTACTCAGTTGTTCATAGCACCGCAGCACACCCTGTTCACAGGCTTTCAGATCCATTTCTGTATGGATACATACATGCATACCAGAACGGAATTAATAATTGAAACACCGCTTTGGGGTTAATATCAGAACATCGGCAGGCTGGACGCAGACTGTCAAACTACAGGAAGGTCTTCCATAGCCATTGGTAACTGTGTGTGTCATTGCGCATGTGCTGTCTTTGCTAACTATTTGATTAATAAATCCAATCAATGCTGACTTATTTGAGGTCTGTTACTATTAACCAAATCTGAATTTGAGAGCGTGCCATTCATTAAATATATAAACAAAATTAAAATTCCTACCAGTTACTGGCTGCTGATTAACTGGTTATTGATTATTGACAAGTTGATTATCAACATCCCTGAAGCAAAGGAGAGGGAGATCACGGGGAGCACTCCTGCCCTCAGCAGTGGAGGGGAAGCTGCACCCCAACTTTCCTCTGCCCCTCCCACAACCCATTGAGCCCCATGGGCACCTAAGGGGGGAAAGGTCTAATGAGCAGAAGGGAGTGAGAAGAGCATGAGGCAAAGCTACTCCCTTATCTCCCAGCTGGTGTCTGACAACTTTGGCTCCCCTTGGCCAGTGTCAACGGGACAGGAGAATCCAGGCCCTACCTTTGGATTTGAAGGAATTTTTCCAGTGATTTGAATATAATGGGATCAGTAAAGCAGGCAGTCCCTGACCAGTGATGTTACAAGCAGAAGGGCCTGCTTTGCAGGATTGGATCGCCAAAATGTTTCATGCTGGTTTGTATCATGGTGCTAGATCCGGGCAGAACTGATTCAATCATGTACAAGAGCGCACTCCCTTTGTTGTCGGTCCTAACTTGACCTTTTTCCAGGGAACCGATTGAGCAATAAGCATGTGGGTGATGGGGAAAGCTTATTAGAGTACCTGGCTGACAATCTGAACTACGAGGAGTGGTTTGTCTTTACAATAAGAGTACATTTGCATAGCACATTGCTGACTTGTTATTTCTCTTAAAATATGTTATTGCCTTTCGTGTGGTGAGCTTATATTTACTGTTTGTTTGTTTGTTTTTTACAGCCCCAACAGAGACTTCTCCATAAACACTACCAGCCTCTAAAGCTTCTGTCCTGCCAGGTGATATGAAAGTGAACTTTACTTCGTGAAAAGCATAACAAATGGCACTGCCAGAAGGTGACCAGGGAGAATTGAAAGATTAACTGAAATACAACCATTCAGTCAAGATGATGCATTCTGGAAAGTCCTGGTTTGCTGTGGAATTAAAATTTGGTGCATAAAATACAGTGCTAATTTGTTCAAAGTGGTCATTGACAGACCATTAGCTGGAAAATTGTTTCCAGTTTTCATCACTGTGCATAACTTTGAGTTCCCTTTAGGGGACTATCTGTGCCCTTCACTAGAAGTCCTGTTTTAGCATGGCAACTACTGGATTATTTTATTATATATGCAGATGGCATGATGATGTTTTAGGAAAAACTTACAGCAGTTCTCCAACCTCAGTAAAAATGTTCACAATATAACACCCCCAATAGGAATGTAAACGTCTTGTATATGTTAGTTATACAGTCTAATGGTATTCTGTTTAACTATATGTGATCTCCACACAGAAGAGTTAGCACATTCTAGACATGTCAAGAAAGGTCTTTTCTTCATTTCAATACTAAAATATGTTTTAGTATCTACACTGAGACTGTATCTAAAATAGAGCCTATACTTGCATATATTCACAGATTCATGGGAGATTGCATAGATAGATTTGCTCATGGCATGTATGCCACTAGACATATTTTATAGAGACTTACTGAACAGCTGTTATGAAGGTAGCCAGGAGTAGGGGAGGTTGAATGGGCTGTCGGACATTGTGTCTGCTGTCCCCTGTCCTCACCAATAAACCAAGCAGTCCGCATTTCTGTTGTGCCAATGTGAGGTTCCCATTAAATTGTAAAGGAAAAGATCCCTTCTCTGAGATGCATTGTGTCCATGGCTTTGGTCTACATTAAACACAGGAGAAACTGGAGAAATTCTGATTCTTCTGCTAATCACTATTTTTTGGGAGTGGGGTGGTGAATTACAACTTGCAGAGTCCAAACAAAATCTCTTGAAGATTGTAAAGAGTGAGAGGTGGACTAGATGCTTCCACTCTGTACAGCTCCTCATAGAGGACAGACACCTCCATTAACATTTCCTCCTCTTTCTACCCAAAACCCTTTTTTTAGTCTGAACTGGGGTTAAGGTAAATGGTTCTAATAACCCTTTGGGCATTCTGTAGCAGGCTCAAGACTGTTGCATTCAAACTGAGCATTATTTGTTGTTCAGTCTCTAAGTGGCTGACATCACGGGTTGTGTCACAGCTGGCTGTGGTACAGTTTTCATCCATGGGAAATTACGGGAAGTACTTTTGATCCCACCCCTCACATTGGGGCCTATTTGAAACAGACTATTTACAATGAAGTAAATTAAATAGTCAGCAGCATCACAAGGGACCAGCCTGGTGGTTCTTGCAGTTCCTAAATCAAAGATGGCACTTTGGGTAGCCACAAAACATCTTTCTCTCCAGCCTAATGGGCTAACACTTAATCCATCTGCCAAACCTGTAGAGAGCCTTCCATGTTGGAGACTTAGATACCAATAGTGGAGGGAAGATGAATCTTAATGGGATTACAGGAAGACAAGGGGATATTTTTGAGGGAGTTCATGTGGTACACTTTTAGAAGCTATTCTATACACTATTAATGATTGTAAGATCAACCAGTTAGAGCACCAGTGCATCCAAAGTGTATATTTTTGGCGTGGATTTATGTCAGAACTTTTTACCCATCCCTGGTATGTAAACAGTATATATACTTTTTGGACAAATATATATATAAAAAGAATCAGGCTCAGCATGTTGGCTACTGTATAATATCCATTTAGAACACAATTATAATTAGTTATGGCCAAGATTTTCAAAAGTGTCTAGTGATTGTTGGGTGCTTAGCTTGACACCTTAAAGGAGCCTGATTTTCAGAAAATGCTGAAAACCAGGTCTCTTTAAAGTTTCTCAAATTGGGCATCCAGAACTTTCAAGCATCCAGAATCACAAGTCACTCTTGAAAATCATGGCCTTTCATTTAGATTGGTTAGAAAAACTCCAATAAAGGCACAAGAATAATATCATCTAAGTGCGAAGTTGCTAGAGCAATACTTTTGCAATGTGCACTTTTTAGAGTTGCCCATAGAATTGCAAGTTGACTTTTTTTAGAAATTGGTCATGTGCATTGCAGAATTTCATTAACAGTTTTAGCACATTTTATAGGCCTTTCCTATTGTTCTGTTTTAAAATGAATTCTGGGAACTGAGATCAGTCATTTTCCTAGATCACTTATATTACTATTGCTGTTTAAAAAAAAAAAAAAAAAAAAGTTTATCAGTTTGTTTAAAACAAAACAAAAAGAGAAAGAGAGAGATACTTATATGTTAAGGATCCTCTTTTACTATACTCAAGTTTACTACATAGTAATACATTCTAGAATAATTCAAATGATAAAGTTAAGATTGTCACAGATGGTTACTATATGGGTGTGAGAGAAAAAGATGAGTTAGGTAAAATGTTTTTATATCAATGTTAGTTTTAAATGTCTGCTAGTACATGGGCATGAACTTAGATGTCTGAACTAATCCTCTTAAAACAGTTTGTTTTAAATGATTCCCGGGGTTTAGTTAGGAGGATCTGGGAAATACAGTGTTAGAGGCACTGAGAAATGTGAAAATAAGGGCCAAGTCTTGGTCCAACTGAATTCAGTGGAGTTTTTTCAGAGATTTCAGGGGGCCACTGTTTGACACTATGCTTGAAACTTACTTAGGCCTCAATCCTACCAAGACCTATGCATGTGGAAAGACTTCAAGCGTAAGAATTCTCCCACTCACGTGTGTAAGTGTCTGCAGGAGCAGGGCCATAAGGAGCTTACTGTATGTTTGATTTGTATTTAACTAGTCACCACGTTTAATCACTGTTACTCTCTGAAAGTAGGCCATGCTTCCTCAGGGATATTTATGGAATTATTATACATCCACTGAACAATTGTCTGAATCCCAACACATTCCTCTGAAAAGTGTGTAATATAAATAAGGAAGGGGGTTACGTTATTGTGAATGGAGCTGAGTACTGTGTTGTGAGAGAGGCTACGGAACGCTTTCATGTTTTTATGCTGACACCTTATTAATAGCAGACCCCTCCACTTTTCCCTGGGTCCCAAGAATAGATCCATGGAAAGAATGCTCTGTCTACAGTCATAATTAATTTATTGCAAGGGTGCCAAGACTAAGCTAACATGAAAGGGAAGGAATAAATTCATTCCTGCAAAAGGAAGTGAATTTAAATATGCTCATAGCCATTAGTTCTATGTAAAAGCAGAGTAGGAGACTAATGCCATTGTGTTAGAATAGCAGATCTCACTCAGCCGTGTGTGTGTGTGTGTGTGAGAAAGAGAGAGAGAGAGAGAGAGATGGTGGTTAATTTAATAGTGTGGGTGGGTGTGTACTTTGCATTATCACTTAGTATCACCATTAAATTTACCACTGTGACACTGGCAATTGACCTACCACAGACTTGACTACTACCTCTAAAATACGGGTAAACAATAATAGTATCACTATCAGAATACTCCTGTCTCAGCACCCAGTCCTGCAGCCTTGCTCCCATGAATGGTCCAATTGCCTGCTACCCTTATTTAGTAAGTAAAGGCTGCAGCATCAGACCTTCACTAAGGAGTTTTCACATAGTCCAAGCCATCTTAGCTACTTCAGATAATGTCTTTTCTTATACTAGGAGGGCGAAGGAATCATCAGCCTACATTGGAAAATATACTACAGATGAAAATATGTTATGTGCTTTTTATTCCCTATTTTTAGCTATATTGCTTGCTTTGTCTGAAACTGTCACATAATTGATTTGTTAAGAAAGATAAAGTCTTACAGGCAAGAAGCTTGCAAAAGCTCTGTTAGCTCTTTGGTTTTGCCAATCCATCTGTACCCAAGTGCATTAGCAGGTTCATTCTTTGCACTATTTTCCTCTCTATTTTTAAGAGTAATTTTGTGACTTTACAACTAGACTTAAAGCAGCTGCAGACTATTTTAAAGAGAGGCTAATCTTTGAGAGTGACATAATTCTTTATTCTGTAAGGGCTGTGGGGCAGATCCCCAGCTGGCATAAAACAGCAAAGCTTCATTGAAGTTCTTGGAGCTTCACTGATTTATGCCAGCTGTAGATCCAACTCCATTTTCCTGTTTTTTCTTAAAACAAAATATCAAAAACACTAGATAGCAATTTTTTAATAATTGACCTCACACATGGAAAAATACAATCTTGCATGTTTTACCTCTGTCCTCTAATAACAAATAGTATCTTTGTAAACTCAATCTCAATGAAAGCTCTCAATCCCTGGCTGTGGTACAATTGGTTCTCATCTCTAGACTGTGATCAATATAAGATTTTAATGTAAAAAGAAACGGGTCCTGTGGTTTAATGAGGGTTGATAGAGTCAAAGAAGCAAGATTGCTGTTGACATTAGGAAAGATGTTTTGAGTACAAAACACCCCAATACATAACAAATGAAAAAATGGGGAACCTCACAGCAATGAGTACAAATCCGCAGTTAAGATATGCAGATGATTGATAAGGGAAGCTAAAGATATCTATGAAATATCTTTGGTCAGTAGTGTTAAGGATGATAAGAAGGAATTCTTTAAATATATAATGAACCACTGAAATCTTAGCAAATTATCTAGGTCCAATACTAGCCAAATATGGTAAAAATATCAATCCTGGTGCAGGAAAGGCATAAGTATTCAACAAATATTTCTGTTCTGTAGTCAGAAAGAAGCAGAATAGTGTAGTCAGATCTTACTGTGATAATTAAATACTTCCTATTCCATCAGTCACTAGAGAGAATGTTAATCTGCAACTATTAAAGATAAACATTTTAAATGTGCGGGACTGGATAGCTTATACCCAAGAGTATTAAAAAAAATTGACTATGGAGCTCTCTGAATCATTAATGTTGTGGTTTTGTTTTTAAACAGATTTTAGAACACGGGGGAAGTTTCAGAGAACTGAAAAAAAGCCAATGTTGTGCCCGTATTTAAAAAGAAAAAATGAGATGACTTGGGAAATTGTAGGCTGGTTATCATGACATTTATCCTGGGCAAAATCATGGTCAGGTTGATGTGGAATGCTATCAGCAAAGAATTTAAAAATGTTTGCATAATTAACACCGATAAACATGGTTTTATAGAGTTTGTCAAACAAACTTGATATCATTTTTGTGAAATGACAAGTTTGGTTGACAAGGTAACTATGTTGACATAATGTACTTAGATTTCGGTAGGTCATTTGACTTAGTCCTGCATTGTATGAAGTGTAGTTGTAGCCGCGTCAGTCCCAAGGCATTAAAGAGACAAGGTGGGTGAGGTAATGTCTTTTATTGGACCAACTTCTGTTGGTGAGAGAGACAAAGCTTGAAAGCTTGTCTCTCTTTACCAACAGAAGTTGGTCCGATCAAAGATATTAACTCACCCACCTTGTCGCTCTTAGTTCTGCATGACATTCTGATTAAAAATAGCACAAAATCAATGTAGCCCATATTAAATAGATTAAAAATTGGTTAACTGATAGATTTCAAAAGTAATTGTAAATGTGAAATTGTAATCCATTGTGGGTATTTCGAGAGGGGATCTGCAGGGATCATCTCTTGGTCCAGTGTTATTCAATATCTTTATCAATTATCTGGAAAAAGTATATAAAATGTAAAATTTACAGATGACGCAAGAATTGGTGGAGTTGTAAATAATGGTGTGAAATCAGTTATATAAACTGACCTGGATCTCTTGATATTGTGGTCTCATTTGAACAGCGTGTTTTAAAACAGACAAATGCAACGTCATCATCTAGAAACAAGGAATGCAGGTCACACTTATGAGATGGGGGACTATATCTTGGAATGTAGTGACACTGAAAAGGATTTAGGGGTTATGATAGGAAATTGCTATAAGAATGATTTCAGGGCTGGGGGAAAAGGCCTTAAACTGACAGAATAAAGACACTCAATCTGTTCAGTTTATTGAAGAGTAGGTTTAGAGGTGATTTGATCATGGTCAACAAGTACCTACAAGGGGAAGAATTTTCTGATGGCAGGCAGCTCTTTAATCTAGCAGAAAAAGGATATAACAAGAGCCCATGGTTGGAAGTTGAAATTAGACAAATTCATACTAGAAATAAACAACACATTTTCAACAGTGAAGGTAATTAACATTTGGAACAACTTACATAGGGATGTGGTGGGTTCTCCTTCACTTAAAGTCTTTAAATCAAGTCTGAATGCCTTTCTAAAAGATCATAGGAATCATAGAATATCAGGGTTGGAAGGGACCTCAACAGGGTATCTAGTCCAACCCCCTGTTCAAAGCGGGACCAATCCCTAACTAAATCATCCCAGTCAGGGCTTTGTCAAGCCTGACCTTAAAAACCTCTAAGGAAGGAGATTCCACCACCTCCCTAGGTAACGCATTCCAGTGCTTCACCACTCTCCTAGTGAAAAAGTTTTTCCTAATATCCAACCTAAACCTCCCCCACTGCAACCTGAGACCAT